GATAGAACAGTTTCTACTAGCTGTGGATAAGTGTAATTTACAGCATTATCTTCAAGAACAGGTTTGGTATGTTGTGTATTATTAAGTATTGAAGAATATTTTGAAGGAATAGGTATTGATGGGTAGAATCCATAACCAGATCGTTGTGAGATAAAGTGGTCAGATAAAGGTTTTGGTTCATTTGATAAGTGTATTAAGCATTCACTATAGTCGAGTTTAATTGATATTACTAGTGTAAAGTTGTAAAGATTAAGTGATGTGTAATTGTAAGGATGTATGTGTTCAAGAAAGAAATAAAGAGTTTGTGGATATGGAAGTAAAGGTAGGCCTTAATGGGCTAGCTATTTGTTATAGCATGAGTCTGAATCAACTAATGTATTGTATGATAGATTTTGTAGTATTTCCTTGAAATATGATAATGTAATGGGATTCAAGGAAGTAAAAGGTTCCTCTATAGATTCGATCACCATATGCTCGGCTCTCACAGCTATGAAGAGTCCCATAGCCTGCTTTGTATGTTGAGTCTGGCTGTCATAAACTTAGTTCTTCACATAATGTTATACTATATTAACTGGCAGGTTATATAATATTTATATAATTTTGATTATATAAAAAAATGCAAACCAATACCAGATGATGCAAATTCAAGATAAGTTCTTGTAAATATAAATTTATAAAACTAGAAATTATCAAAGTTTACTTAAAAAAACTCAAGTAAAGAGTAATACAAATCTTTAATAATACTACTATAAAGTCTAAATTTAGAAAAAAAAATACTAATATAGAGAAATTAAGCAAATAAAAACTTCTAAATAAGAAATACTAACAATCAGTCATCAGAATTTATACTAAAGAAAAGATATTAAACTAAACTTAATATGTTAAAGACAAATTACAGTTGGGGGTTAGGTCCTATAACTTACTTGTTAAGCTCTTATTTCCTACAAACAAGGTTAATAGTTCAAGTCTGACTAGAAGTAAAGTACTTTATAACCAAAAATAGAGCCTATAATCAGATGTGAAACTCTGTAAAAGTCCAAGTAAAGATACATATTTGATCTAAGAAATTTCTAAAAGGAATCTAGTGTGGCAAAGTTGGGCATTACTATAGTTAGAATATAAAGAATATTATCAATGTTTGTGAAAAAAATGGGCTTATCTAATATAGAATCACCTCTGTCATTATAAATTCAAATAGATGTAGTCATAGTATCTATTTCTATTCAGTAGAGTTTGCATTGAAGGTAAAGTAACCCTAAGGTCCTTTATTAAAAAAAAATCAAATTAGTATTACAAAATAAATATTGAAAATCAGAAACTTTAAATAAGGAACCTATAGGCAGGTTTCAAATATGGCAATTAGTAGATAACCTGTAGGCAGAACCTTTAAATAGATAATAACTAAAGTTGTACAAGTGGCTAATTGTAGTCATATTGATATGCAAAATGTAATACTCTTCTACAATATTTGTTGGTTGTAAGTTTTAATAAAAGATTATGAGCCATAAACATTACTTTTTAAATTTGAAAAAAAATTACAGTTTTATTAAGTTATCTGAATTAAAAATTTAAGATCAAAAAAGATATATATTAAAGTATTATAGATATGTTTTAAAGTTAATACTAGGGTTTGAGTAAACTTTACAAGAACATAATCCTGTTAATAAACTATAAAGTAGGTAGTTTAGTTAACAAAAAGATATTCTGAGACTTATAGTTAAGTGATATACTCTAAAGCAGATAATAACTTGATGATCATACAAAAAGAAAATCAAATGTCAAGTTAGATAGCATTTAGATATGAAAACTATGAGAATTTTTAACTGATATAGTATAGAAATCAGAGTAATTAAATAGATAATTTTCTAGTAAATTACAGGTATAACTGCTAATATAAAACCTGCATACAGACTACTTAAATAGATAAACAATAATTGTATATACAGTATAACTAGTTGCATATTTATCTTATAAAAGCTATATATATAAATATATAATTAAAAACACATAAAGACAATAGCTGCTAATAGATTTTAGTTTTAGTAAAAACAATATATATATATATATATTTATTATTATAGATCATTATTATTATTTTATTTATTTATTAATCTAAAATTTTTTTTATAAAAAGTAATACTGAAGTTTAATTAAATATAATAAAAGCCCAAAATTCTCTACTAATAAAAAGAAATACTAAAATTATTATAATTAATAATAGTAATAGCAACAAGAAAAATTTAATAATAATATCATATTACAAAATTAGAATAAAAACAATATATATAATATATAAAAAACTCAGAAAATATATATTTGTATAGTATATATTATTTATATTTAATTGATTTTTAATTTAATTATTTATTTATTACATAGAATTTATTGTATTAATTTGATGCTATGATTTTGAAAATAAAATCTTGATAATACATTTTTAGAATAGATATTACAAACAAGTTATACTAATACTGATCTACTATATAATAATTTGTCTTAAAATGATGTGCTAATTGATAATCAATTATCTAAGGAAATTTTTTCCTAATTAAAAACTCATCCTAAATAAGTTTTAATGATTACCAACAATTAAGAGATGCTGCAATACAATATGTCAAAAAAAATTATTAAGTAATTTATAATGTTATAAAAAAACACTATAAAACTAAATGTTTACTAAATTTAAATCAAAGGATATTGTAAAAATTAGAATTCCTAATATTAATAAGCAAAGAATAGATTGAGATCACTACCATGCAAAGTTATCCAAAAAAACCTAGTCAGATTTATATCAGGTTGAATATGAATTTAGAATTTTAGATGATATCTAGCAAATGAACTAGATCTATTAGGCACTAATGAATATCTAACACTTGATGTTATTCTACTCAGCACTTTTATTTTCTTAAGGAATACTGCAATATAACAAACTTTGACATGATCATTATGCACAACTAAAAAAACATTATGTACAACTAAGAAGAATCCAAGGATTTATGAACAAGCAACTGAACAAGCAACTGAACTTACAACTAAACAAACAATTGAACAAACAACTGAATATGCAGAACATGTAACAGAACATGCAAAAAACTGAAGCAAATGTAATTATAACAGAACAAACTACAGAACTAAGAGCTGCTCATGTTGTAAAATCAATACACACTGTGAATGTGTATTACGAGGCCAGTGCAATAATCTCTAATATGAACTAACATTAAAATCATTGGCAGGTTATAATTATGCTTGTCATTCAAATTCAATTATCATAAATTTGCTTAATTTTTACATGTAGCATTAAAATAAATATTGAAATAAAAGTGTACTGCCTATTTTTTTTCTTATAGTTTTTTTATTTATGATAATCGGTATCTAATATACCGATCAAAATATAACATTTCAAATTCCGATTCCAAAATGACATGTCAATTCAGAATCAACATAAATTCCGAAACGACGTATAGCATAAATACCATATTTAATTTTCAGTAATAACAAAGTCTTACTTTTCAGTTTTATAATTTTTAACTTTACTGATTTTTAAAAATATTAAGGCCGATCATGTATTGAACCAATCCAATTTAAAACAAAAATTTAATACTAAATAATTCAATCTTATTTTGGTCGCAAATGAATCTTTATAGATGAATATGCACTATTTTAATGTTGATAATAAATATTTATTATCATTCATTTAAAATTTTGTAAACATTGTTAAATGAAATATTCACTTGCAAACAATTTTCAATTCGACTGAGTCTCCATATTAGCCCCAAATCACAAAACACTTTAACTAAATGATCTCCAACATGTTTTCCCATATTATCTAAAGTGGAATAATCTGTAAACTTAGAAAAACAAAATTTCTTTAAATCAGAATTTGCATAACCTAATATAACACTATCATGACGCCCAATTCGTAAAGTAATATTATTTCTGAGACAATTACAGCAACGAATAACCAATTCTTCAAAGGCCAAAATAAGATCATTAAATTTCTGTCTAACAATATCTAAAGCCCATGCACAAGATACCGTTGATTTATTAAAAGGAATTTGAAAGTAGTCAAATTCTTCTGTAAGTTGTTCACGAGTAACTTGTCCGAGTTTAGTGGGCCATGTATGCTTTCCAGTTTGATAGAATTTCATTATATAATCAAATGCTTCACTATTACGATCAAAAAAATATTCGTTTCCATTAAATGGATATCTCATACTTGTATTTCGATCTTGGAACATCACACCAAGTAAAGTTTCTGGTTGTGCTATGAGCGTTGATTGGCATGTTTCATACTAGATGATAAAAAAATTAGATATATTCGCCCATTATATTACATAAACAAATATTACATACTTAAGGTACCAAACAATTATTACTATATTTCATTTACCTTTTTACCTCCAACATTTAAAATAATTTTTTCTTCTGATATATTGATTGGAACTTGAATGTGGGCTTGATTACTCCCAGATTTTAGTAGTTTTTCAACTGGTGAAGAAAAAGTGATCACTATCTTAATTGATGAACCCCAGTTTTGATGTACCCATTTTAGTTTTAATTCAGAAAAACTTTCAACTATACGCCTTTCAATCTGTTCTCCTATATTACTCAGGATATCAAAGGCACAATCTTTAAATATGCCAAGACAACTATCTGACTGAGTGTCACTACGAACTGATAAAGAAAACTTATTGACAAAGTTAATGTAATTATTAATGATTAATTGTTCAAGATGTGAAATAAATCGGTCAATTGTGCTTTTAACACTTTCCGATGCCATAGAAAAAAACACTTTTGAATTATTAATTTGAAAATAATCGAGTTCTTCTTTAAGCTGTTGATAAGTAACTTTTAATGGTTTAGTTTCAATAGGCCATAAAAGTTTTCCAGTCCGGTAAAATTCCATTATATAATAAAATGCTTTGCCATTACGGTTAAAAAAATATTCATTTCCATTAACTGAATTTTTAATATATTCATTTTGATCTTGAAATATTGTTCCAAGTAATGTCTCTGGCTGAGCAGTGAGTGTTGATCGAAGAGTTTCATACTGCATTATTGAAAAGTAAACCATGTAAGTAAAAAGTAACTTAAAATTTATTATTGCACTTTATTTACCTTTATACCTCCAATATTTAAAACAATCCTTTCTTCCAACATATTAAATGGTAATTCACGGTCCAATAAACAGTGTCATTTAAGCAAAAATCGTTGGGAATAAGATCTTTTTGTAATAATTTTTTATTAGCAAATGCGTTGTGCCACAAAAAGTACTTTAAAGTATATAAATAAGTTATCAAGGCAATGCGTTAGCATATCAGACGAATTTATTCCTTTGACGGAGAAATAGTATTTGAGTGCTGCAGAGCGAAAAGCTGGAAGTGAATATTTAAGTTCTCATCATAACGAATTTAGCACCTGAAGGACTTCGATATTACGTACTGATAAATTATGTTTTGATAGTTCAGTAACGACTAGGACCTGATTATATACATGGTTAATTACGTAACATCAGAATTCACAAGACTAAACAGGCTAAACTCGCCATGATGAAAACTTAAATATTCACTTCCAGCTTTTCGCTCTGCAGCACTCATTTGTTACTCGATCACAAAACTAATAAACAATACTACGAAAACACGAATGGGATATCGCCTCGCTGCATCACGTGGTTACCAGTTGTTTTCTAGAATCGTTCCTATTCTAATATTCTCTTTGTAGTCATTCCTTTATTACTTATTTTTCCACCACAACTGTGTGATATCCGGATTGTTCATCAAGCTGGGCTACCATGTTCTTACCTGCCTAACCTGTCTTTTCGGGTGGGTGGGAGAGATTAACGAAGAGCTAGACTTGTGTCGAGCTTGCAGCAAGGAAAAAAGATATCTAACAAATTCCAAAATCACTTTCTTTATATAACTTATAGTATGACCTCATACTTACCTAAATGTCATATTGTCATTTCATTTCTCTAACTACTTGCATACGCACAACTAAAAACTTCATTCGTTATTGATCGGGATACTGATCTCGTGGCAGGGAAGATAAATTCGAGAAAGTAAGCAATAACGAATAGCATCACATGTATAGGTGCAGACATTTGGTGATTCCGTAGCTGATCTTAACGTCACCTAAGATGTAACTCAAGATGTGATGACACGTCAAAACGCTATGACCGACATATGACTTAATTTTAGACATATGCGTAACTGTTGTATGTGCCGTAACATTTGGTATATACCATAATATTTGACAAATATTATAACACTACGAAGGAAACTTTAAAAACTCCTCATATTTGCTTTGAAAAATTAATATAGAACTGCTAAAATAATGTATATAAATTGAAAAGAAATAAAGGTTAACGAAGCAAAAAATTATTTATTGTTTTAATTATATGCAGAGCATTATTTAATTCTAATTATTTGTTATGATATTTTAAAACAAATGCATATGGTTCCAATTACTCCTATAATAAAATAAGTAGCCTTGCAATTTTTTAAGGAAATATCTATATTATTTGATTCAATTTTCTATGATGGTTTAAATTTATAAGCAATTCATCATATCTAAATATTGAACTTAAGATCTAAAAGAGTGTCAACAAGGTTTTCAGGATTAAAATCCATATTATCACTGTTCTCAATATTATAATCCAAATTATCAATCTGAACTTCAAAAGATACATTCTCTCTTTTCTGAAAGATTAGATCTCATAAATTAACAATACCTTCTAAGACAATATTAGTTTATGTTAATAAAATTTGATCATTATCATTGTCTGCATTATTATTTTCAATTACTTTCTCATTTTTCATTTTATCATCAATAAAACTATTTATTGATGTGAGATTTACCATTTTACATAATTTGGATTCAGTCATCAAAGTTTCAAAATAAGTAAATTCATTATTTTTACATATATTTGTCATGTAATAGAAACTAATTTTAGCCATTTTCTCAAATCTCTTAATATCAAGACATATATGTTTATTGTCAATAAATCACTTAAGAACTGAAAAGTTTCTTTTGCAATTGACTTGAGATGATGAAATATTAAAAAGCCTTTGTGAAAGTTTAGAAAGATGATACGAATTGTTTTTTAAAGATCTCTACTATAATATAAGAGTATTAAGATTTTGGATATAAGGTAGATCAAATAGTTTTTTTTTGGTATTATAATAATGAAACTATAAAATTAACTCTTTACATTCTTGTTCAAAATACCTTAAATTTTTTCATAATATTGATATAGTTATAGTAGCATTACAAAATGCTTCATTTCTAAACCTAGTTCTATAGTAAAATAGATAAAAATAGTAACACAAAAAGTAGCATAAATATTGAAATTTTATTTTTTTTTTTTATTTTAAGAGTGAGGCCTGGCTTCGGTCTTTATTGAACAATTTGGTATTACATTAATAAAAATGAGTTACATAAATTATTACATAGACCTATAGCTAGGATTAATTTATCTTCAACCCAAAACTCTACTAGAGTAGGCTGTCAAACCTCTTCTAGATTTAGTGTTGCAATATAAGATATAGATATGTTAGTAGTAGAAAAAATAGTTGTTCATTTTTCATATTTTGTTATAGCTACTTGGTCTGTAGCTGGATGTTCTAGAGTTGTGATTGTGAGTGTATTTGTTAGTAGGTCATTTTGATGCATAGCTTTGCATCTTTCTGTTTATATTTGTTTGTAAATATTGTTTGATATTTTATAAAATAGAATAACAAGTATGTTCAAATTAATATTGCAAGTTGCAGATGGGTTGTTTGGAATTAACCCTTGCAATCTAAGAAGATTATATATGTTGTTTGATGTTTGAAAGAGTTGTTGTAATAAGATTGGTATATTTTGTAGTTCTATTTTGTTTTTAGTAAGGAATTTAGAGATAGTTTGTTGGATTACTTAATCTAAAGATATAGGATTTGCTATATATTTAAGCCAGTGAAAGTTGTTTTTGATATGCATAGAGCAATGATTGCAGGTAGGATTGGTATATGTTTTAGGTTTTCTGTAATGTAGGTTTAATAGAGTTGGTAGCTTATCTAGTAGAAATTTAATTTTAAAACCTTTTAATCATAAGTGTTTGGGATGAGTAGTGTGGGTATTAGATTTGTTGTTATAGTTAAGAAATTTGTATGTTGAGTTCTAGTTGATATCTTTACAAATATCATTCCAATGTTTAGTACTGTTAAGAGCATACTATTTTGTTGTATTTGTTGTATTTTGCAAGTGTCTAATAAAATAACGAGATTTGTTTTTGATTAGTGTATTGTTTCAGATAAGGTAGAAATTGTTATTGTCAAGTGCATAAGGTTGAATGTGCAGTTTGTATTGTTGTATATTGGTAGACAAATAAGTTGTTCTATTATATAGAGGATAGTTGTTAGGGTTCTCAATATAGATACCTTTAATTTTAATACCTTTGCAAACAATTATAGTCTGTAGTAGTAGTTTAAGTGGCCAATGGTTGTACTTTTGAAGAGTAAGAGTAGAATTTGGTATTGATGCAAGAAGGGAGTTAATGTAGTTAATTGTTGGTTTGTAAGTCATATAAACTGTTATTTGACAATTCTGTGAAGCTATTATTAGAATTGTTATAATTCCAATAAGGTATGCATATGTTGTGAAAGGCCAATATGTAATTTGGGATAAGAATGTTATATTAGTTGATGTAAAAGTTCAGATGAATTGAGCCTGTGACTGTGGTGTATATTGTCGTCTCAGAAATTAGTGAGTCTGTCACTAAACTATTCCAACTCTCATGTAACCTATGGCAGCTAAGTTAAAACAGGTGTGTTAGATTTGGCGAGTAGATTATTGTCTGTAGATAAGTACTGATCTCTTCTCTTGAGCTTTCCTACAACCTACTCTTTTCTAATTTTTTATCTTGTCTCAACCAGAATTTTACTATATTAAATCAGGGTTGGAACTCTTCTCTGTTGTTCATTACAGTTTACTAGGCATGTGACTAGACGAGCGATCAATTACGGGTTTAGTTTATTGTTGGGATTAATAAGTATTGTTAGAAATAGGATTTACAATAATAACTAGTTGTATAAGGCAACACTTTCACTTGTACTATGAGTCAGATAGTTAGTTTATATTTCGCAATTGTAATCACTGGCCTTTTGGCCTGGGCGAATTGCCCTTTATTTATAATAAACATTCTTGTCTTTTTACATTATGAGATTGTCTAATATGTCAAACATATCTAATATATCGTATATATCTAATTTATCATATATATCACATTTATTTAATATATCACACTTATGCGATATAACAGATATATTAGATATATCAGACATATTCGATATATCTGACATACCTGACATTTTTGACATTCAGAATCTTCATCACATGCACCAGTCACATTTTCAGGTCTTACAATATGCTTGGGTTATAGTTGCATAAAGATATAATTGAAGTTTTTTGGCCTGTGAGTGAATTGTTATGAGGTAAGATAGTTGTGTAAAAGTGGTACTTGGTAAAAATATTTGGTATACCAAATTGTTTTGAGTTGTTGAGGTAGTAGGTAGTTGTGAATTTTGGTGAATAACTAAGATAATAGATAAGTGTTGAGGTGAGGTTTTCTTTTTTAGCTATAAAGAAGACTGTGTATTAAATTTATGATGATGCTGTATTAAGTCATTAATATCTGTTCGAAGAACCTTGGAACTAGATACTTTAATCACAATACACTGAGATGTAGTTTGTGTAATTATGTATTGCTGGCTAGTATTAGCAGTGCAGGTATGTAAGTGGTGCTTTGTGCTATAGTTCAGGTAGTGGCATTCAATAATGTTTTATATATATTATATTGTTTGTATTAGATATTTTTTGTATTTTTTTTATAATTGGTATACTTTTAATTTTGCTAAGCATCTAGGCACTTCTTTTTAGTGCTATAGAGTTTGTGGTAAATGGGTTAGGAATGATGATAGGAATGTATAGTGTAGTAGTTGCATAAAAGGTATATTAGAGTTCCTGAAACCATTTGGGAATTCTTTCTCTTGGTATTTTTTGTGTTTTGTATGCGATATATTGCTATGAAAGAAGCTGTATATTTGTGTAATTAGTAAGTTGTTCAATAGCAAAGATGTTTGCTTTGTTGGTTAGTGACTTGATTTGTGTTAGTTTAGTACAGTGTTTAATTAATGTATCAATAAAGATGCCTTTGTATGTAGTTGGTATTGGCCAGAAATTAAGAAGATTTTGGATGTTGATTTCAAGTTGGTGTGCAGTTCTGATAGTTTGGGCTATAAGTGTATTATAAAACTTTGTAGATAGTATATAATTTGAAAAATATAAAATGTTATTAGATAAAAGTGTTGCTTGTTGAAGATGTTGTAATAGAATTTTGATTAATGGGGCTGTTAGTAGATTGTTTAGTTGTATATAAAGAAAAGAGATATGGATCTGTGCTTGAATGTCTGTTAGGCTGTGTAGGTTGTATATTTGGTGATAAAATATAGTAGAGTTGAGTATCATTGAGGCCAGTTCAGCCTTGTGTTTTGCAACTTGTGTATATGAGTTGGTAATACTTTGAATGTTAGAGTAATAAACAAATATGTTTAAAGTTCTATATGAAAAGTGAGTTATAAGTACAGTATTAATAATATAAATTGTTTGTTTTTCTGTGATCTTTTTGTTTTTTGTAATACTAATAAGGTTGGTGGCCTTAGCAGTAATCTGAATATGTAAATGTTTGTGGTAACTAAGTAATATAAACCAGCAGCCCAGATAGCAAAAAGTATCTTTTAATAGGATAGTATGTATGATAATATTGGCAAAGTTAATTGTTGAATTTGGATTCTTGGTCTGGTTTATTGCAAGGATTGATTTAGTAGAAATAACTATGATATTGGCTATGTTGCAAAAGAACTCAGCAGTATTAACAATTTGTTGAAAAGTATGTTTGTTAGAAGCCAGCCATAGTGTATCATTTATATAGGCTAGTACTGATGTATAATATATTAGGTGTTGTGTGTTAGATACAGATGTCATTAACATATTATATCCTTGAAATTTAGAATGAATGTAGGTTATTAAAGAGTCATAGTATATATGCCAGAGAAGTGGTGTGATTGTTTCTTCTTGGTTTATGCCATTTTGTATATAATAACTAGATGTAGGACCAAAGTTTTTGATAACTGAGTTGTATCAGTTATTGTATATGTTAATTATGAGTTGTTGTATATTAATAGAAATTTTTAGTCAAGTTAGGGCATGTTGAAGGAGTGAAATGTATACAGAGTCATATGCCTTGCTCATATCCTGAGCCAAGAGCCATATTTCTTTGTTTTGTGTTTGTACTTCTTGTAGTATATTGGTAAGGATTTGTATGGATTATGTTGTAGAGGAATAAGGCAGAGCAACAATTTTGTGTAAATCTAAAATAGGATATTTAGATATTATTTTGCTAAGTTGGTTAGTAATAATTTTTGTAAAAATTTTTCAAGTATGTTTAAGAAGTGTTATAGGTCTGGTATGATTAAGTTGACCTGTAAAGGTTGGTTTTTTTAATATAGAATATATTTTGCTTTGTTTTCAAGCAGTAAGAATGTCTGCAATGTTTAAGCATAAGTTGAATAGAATTGTTAAGAGTTTAGTAATATGAGGATGAGTATACTTAAGCATTTCATTAGAAATAAGTGTAGGTCCAGGTGCTTTGCTGTTAGGTGAAGCATTTATTGTGTTGATTATTTCTTATTGAGTTATTAGATCTGTTAATGTGTTATATCATGCTGGAAGTATATTTGTTTTGGGATTGTATTTGTTTTTCTATTGTTCTCAAAAAGTTGGGTTGTATGGATTATGTTTGGTCCAGTTTGTAAAATGATCTTTGATGTGTTAATGGATTTCTTGTAGTTTAGTTATTATAAAGTTGGGAAGTTTTATATTGTCAAATAGTACAGTGTTAGTATGTTTATTGAGAATACTG